CCATCACTGAAAAAAGCCCCAACTTTTATGATGCAATCCCTTCCCCAAAGCCCAGTGGGGAGTCCTCTTTTTTGCCTTCTAGATGACCTTTTCTGTAGAGATTAAAGCCAACAGAATAGACAGCTTACCAGTGCTGATTTCTTCCATTCTGGGGTCTGATAAACCCCAGTTTAACAGATGACTTGTCCTGTGATCCATTTTGTCCATTCTCTTCCAAATGTTCCTCAATTTCTCTGTTCCTAGGTGGCAGCATTGCTTTCCTCGGGATGCTACTTTGTTTGCCATGTTCAGCGTGTGTATTCTCTTCCTTGTCTCTGTCTTCAGCTGCCCTGGCTGCACAGAGCGGTCCCTTCCATTCCCTCCTCACCAGCAGCAGCCAGAGGCCACCTGGCTCTTGGAGTCTGGGCAGGGCAACTGTGTGCCTCCCTCCCTGGATGTGGGTCTCAGTGTCACAACCATTCTTACCCATCGGGCACCTCAGTATTAGTTATTTTTCCTGAGTAAGATCACTGAATATTCTCATCTCCAGTACTTGCTAAATGCCTCAGGGCAAAGTGGGCCAAGTTGGCACTGACGAGGGCGTGTTAATTTGGGGAAAGTTTATTATCTCCATGAAGTGAAAACTCTGTGGAAGATGGCCAGGAAGGGTCGCAAACTCATCACAAAGGACCATGCTTTTCCTCCACATAGTGAAGTAGGGGAGGCTTTTGATGTCCCATCTTTTCTGCAAACAGAGATCCTCTGCAGCATCCACGTTAAGAGAACTTTGGTCATTTTCTAACCATCTCAGACTTGCTGGGGACGAGACTGGCATCTTGCTCCCACAGATCCCAAGTGGTCTAACATGCATATGCCAGAGGGGAGGCTAGGTCATCATCAGAGCATGAAGTCTCTAAGCAGCCAACAGGTGGTCACACTGTTCCCGCTTAAGGTACATGTCACTCCTGGGGTGCGGAGGAAGGTTAGAGGGTCCCTGCATGTCTGCCGTGCTCACGCGATTCTGCTTCCACATTAAACCTCTAAAATCCTAGTCTGTGGTGAGAGGCTTAAAAGCAAACCCTTGCTGCTCTCCCCTTGGAGCTGCAGATCTGCAGAAACCACAGCTCAGATCAAGCACGCCAGGGTTCAAGAGCAAGCCTCGGGCATTTAGGACAATGACATACCAGTGACCCTCTTCTGCGGGCTAACAATCCATCCTCTGAAATCTAGCTGAGGCTTCTTCTTGCATAAAAGACCTTGTGCTTTGTAAAGGACAGACTGGTACCCAGAAGTAGTCCAAGCCCCCTGTGACCGACAGGAGCCAGTTTCCTGCATCTCATCTCCAAAACCATTGTGCACTTAACCTTTTTCTGAAGCTTGGACGAAGCCCCAGCTTTGGTTTCCATTTTGGTTAAATCCCAGATCTGCCACTTTCTGGCTGTGTGACACTGGAGAAGTCACCTCGCTCTCTGAGCCTCAGTGACCTCATCTGTAAATGGAGACGACAACCCCCATCTCACCTGGTTTCTGGGAGGATTCCATGAGGTCATTTTGTCAAGGAGGATAACACAACTCCTGGGCTGCAGGAAGTACTCAACAAATTTGTCTTAATAATAAACACATACTATGAAATCTTTTAAAGTCATCAGTTTAATCATGTTGCACTAAAACACAATGTGCACATGAAACCAGGAGGATGACAGCTGCTGCCGTAGCTATGAAAGGATTCTGCTCAGCTCCATCCCAGAAAAGGGAGCTCTCCACTTCCATTCTCTGGTTTATAATTTTATGTCGTAAATATACAGTCTGTTTAATTGATGGATCCAGAAATGGAAGGACCTCTAATTCTTGACATTTTCCTTTAAAAAGGCAACAAACTTTAACTAGATCCCTTTGTCTTATGTCGGCCTGAAAGTTTGCAGTAGAATACTTCCAAATTTCTTATTCAGTAAGAATGTCAGATACTTGGGTATCTGGTTTGTTGGGGTTTCTCCCCCATGAGAACTGGTTCAGGACAAAGTTGATTTTGTTTCGTTTTTCCAATTCAAAGTGAAAAGAGCATCGAGTCCCACAAAAGGCACAGATTCTTAAAACTCAGGTGACCTGCCTTATTGACTACGAGAACATCGGTGAGAAATCTAGCGTTGCAGTTTAACCACCAACAGGACAAGACCCAGGCCTCCCAGAGAAGCAGCAGCATGAAGGCAACTCACTAATGAACTGTTCAGCCTGAAATTAGAGCACGACACAAACCACAGAACCAAGCGGACCACCAGCAGGGGCTGAGGAGGGGCAGAAGTGGCCCACATTAGCTGGCTCAGAGCTCAGTGTCCCGGGACACTGAATCATGGAATCACAGGGCTGGAGACGCCTCCTTGGCAAGGCTGTCGCCATGAAAGGCCCTGAGGGGACCACCAGTTGGTGATAATAATGAGATCAATCCTCCAGCTCTCTGCATCCCGGCAGCTCACTTCTCTTCTACTTGCAAGAAGCTTTTCCTGAGCCCAGGTAGTCAGAGAGAACTTAGCCACCTGCTTGACCTCACACAGCAAAGCTGGGGACAGAATTCGGGGCCCTTCAACCTAGCAAATGCCACCTCTGTCCCCTCGGTCCTCAGAGTGAGCAGGCCAGTCGGTCACCAGAAGGGATGCCGAGGAGCAGGGAAGCCCCCCCTTCACGGTGCTGCTTGGCTCCTAACAGATTCAGAAGGCTCGGCCACCAGAACATTTTTAAATCCTGCGATATCGCAGTAACCCTGGACCGACCAGCTGGCAAAATCCAAAGTTCACCGCCTGCGGTCTTTCTTACACTTGGCTCTATTCTTGGTGGCTCTTAACTGTGTGTTCCTGCCTCCTTGGCTTATAGAATCTGCATAAGTGGGACCTCCAGCGTGACTGACAGTGTGACAGTGTTGGGCATGTGGTGAGACTTCAGGGAAGCGGTATCTTGGCCAACCCTCCCAAGGCTGTATCTGTCTCTGCCTCTGGTAGGAATTTTCCAAAGTCCAGTGGACTGGTCCTCCATGCCTGGTCCTGACTGTGGGCTAAGCGAACCTCCTCTCCTGCCCAGCAGCTTGACGGAGGCAGCTCCACCGGCACTGGCCTGCTAAGATTTCCTCACTGCCCCGTGATCGCATCAGTTGTTGAAATACAAGAAAGTGTTTCGGAGCTCAGGCCCCGAGAAGAGGGCATGATGGGCTAAGGTCACAAAGGCCAGGGTACAGGCAGGCCTAAGGACCCTCAAGCAGTGCCCGTGGATCTCAGGTGATTCTGTCTCTCTCCGTGGCTGGGCCTACTGAGAGTACCCTGTTTTCACAACCCAGGCTCAGGTGGTATTGAATCCAGAGATACTGGAACCTTCCCCACTAGGCAGGGCACCCCTCGAAAGTGAGGCATCAGACAAGGGAGGACCCCCGTGCTGACAGGCGCCCTGCAGGAGGGAAGGCACTCACACCTACAGCACAGGAGCTGGGCTGGTTTGATCCCTTCCTTATGTTCACATTTCAGAAAATCATGAAACGGCTCATAAAAAGATATGTCCTGAAGGCCCAGGTGGATAGAGAAAATGACGAAGTCAATGAAGGTAAGCGATTGGATCCATCTGCTCTAGGGCGGAAGCCAGACGTGGTCTCACCAGGCTAAAGTCAAGGTGTTGGCGGTGGGGCTACGTCCCTGTCTGGAGGCCCTGGGGACGCTCGTTGGGCTGTTGGCAGAATTCAGGTCCACGGAGTTGTAGGACTGGGGTCTCTGTCCCCTGGCTGACCATCAGCTGGGGCTGCCCTTAGCTCTGACCTTAAAGCCGCCCCCCAGTCTTGGCGTGTAGCGCCTCCATCTCAGCACCAGCAACAGGGCGTGGAGCCCTGCTCACAACAGTTGTTCTGCCTTGTGCAGTCACGGCTGCCGTGAGTCGGCCTCATGTCCCTGGAGCTCAGGATGGCCCCGAATTCTTCATCCCCTGAGCACACACACAGACAGCAGCAGACTGTACACCTCTTTCAGATTCTGCAGGAGCCCCGGTTCTAGCTAGCTCTGTCCTGTCTAACTTCCTGGCTCTAAGAAGCTACCAACCCGCAGTTTCTCAAAGAATCCCCCACCTCAGAAGCACTTGATAAAAATGCGGACCTAGAGCCCACCGAGACCTAATGAATCGGCATGGCCTGGGGGTCTGTGTCGTGATAAGGATGCCAGGTCATCCTGATGTGCACTGAAGTTTGCAAACTACATTACTTTCCCTGTGTGGGTTATCTTCCAGCCTATTTTAAGCCGTTACTCTTAAACGAAAAGCAAATTACCATACACCAGGTAATTAATCTTCATGAGACACCCGGGACAAGTATTTGCCACCTAGAAAGAGCCTCCTCCAAGAGTGAAGGCATGAACTCTCTCCCTTGCCAGGGCCCCAGGGGCCTCCGGAAGGAGCCTAGTCATTTAGTGACCCTCTGCTTCATCCTGGGACATCCACAGCGTGGCCTCAAGGTCAGCAATGACCGAATGGCCCCGGGGGCTGACACTGTCTAGGAGCCGAGCAGCAGCCCACCTACCCACCCCTACTGTTGGGTCTCAAATACAAAACTGCCGGGTGTCATGGCAGCCAGCTCCCCACAGCGTGTAACGTGATTGACAGGAATGTACCTGATCATAGAAGGTGGGGCTGCCCAGGTTCACGCCACTAGAATCACACCATGAAACTGGGGCCCAACGAAGCCCCCATAGAAAGAAAATAGGGGAAAATAGGGGATGTATGCCTTTGTCAAAACTGGCCAAACTGTACCTTTAAGACCTCAGCATCTTCTGTGTATAAGGCATACTTAAAAAACACGTATGGCTAATGTGACACTTGAGCCAAGTCCAGTATCTCTCAAACCAGGAGAGAACCTTTCGGCTCCCCTTTGTACTTAATAAGAAGATTCCCACAGCCCAGGCCCATGTGGATTTCTAACCACATGGTTCGCTGTGGAAAGAAGTGGAAGACCCTACCTGTGGTCCCTTGCTAGAGAAAGAGGAGAAGGCAGGCCTACCTACCGTGGTGCACCGGTGAGGGATGCTGCTTGCGTGGTGCGGACAGACCCTCCCCCTGTGAGGAGGTCTGGCTCCACAGCCGCAGCCACTGTGCTGAGCTGATCCCCTCAGACACTTGGGAGTTTCTCCTCCCTGAGACGACAGAACAAAACATGGAGCATAATGAGAAAAAAATGTTTCAGTTAACAAGGGTGTTGCTTAGAGTCTTGAAATCTGCTTCTAATGGCTCCAAAACCAGCATTCTAACAACCGTGATAAATCAGTGTTAGCAGTTCACAACCCTGATCTTGATTCTTCCATCTACCTCAAACCCCTAATGGAGAGCGTGACCAGGAATGGGAGAGGGGTCTTAAGCAGATGAATGAATGGTCCTTCGTCGGTAGAAGCTGAGTGGGATTTAGGCCAAAACAGAGCTCCCGTCCCCTCACCTCCACCCTTGGTGGGCTGGACCAGTAGCCTGACATTCTGTGGGAAGGATGCACGCCCCAAATGCCTATGGGATGAGCCCCTTCAGCAGGCTCATCTCACCAAAATCTCATCTGTCCTTGCAGGCGAACTGAAGGAAATCAAGCAAGATATCTCCAGCCTGCGCTATGAGCTTCTTGAAGAGAAATCTCAAGCTACCGGCGAGCTGGCAGACCTCATCCAACAGCTCAGCGAGAAGTTTGGAAAGAACTTAAACAAAGACCACCTGAGGGCGAACAAGGGCAAAGACATTTAACAGCCTGCATCGGCACCTGTGACTTCTACCAGCATTCCAAGGCCAGGTGGGATGCCCTGGCCACCAGCTCTGGTCGGGAGGGCCCTGGGCCACTCCTCTAGGACTCTAAGGGGACCAACTGGCTCTGTCCTGACCAGCCTTGCTGACATCTGCAGCCCAGTGGCCTGCCTGGACCCAGAACTGTTGTGAATCTAGGCTGTTGGGTGAGAAACTAGACCACAGGAGGAGGGGAGGAAGTGCCCCCCCGATGCATGTGACACCTTCAGGCCAGTCACAGTGACATATGTCCCTGTGACCAGCGCAGGAAAAGGCCATCTCGGATGCACACTCGTGCCCTCCCACTGCACACGGACTGCAGCGCTGTCTGCATCCAGGAAGCCATCCTGGATGGCTCATGGCTCATGAGGCCATCATGCCTCATCCCATGCAGCCCTGCTCACTCCCACCCCACCACCCACATACATCCAAAGGAACTGGGAGGTGACCTGTGATCTATTCTTAAGTGCCAGATGAGAACACAGATAGCCTAATAGCAAAATCGCTCTATTTGTTTATATAAAAAAAAGGTTTAAAAATCCTAAATCAAAAATTGTACTGTAGGTAGCACTGTTCAGAGAACAACGACAAAATCCAAATGATGTATTTTTACCTTTATTAAAATTATCTTGTATTTACTATTTTTACCTGAAATGGAAAGAAATAAAATTACCTCATAATAGCCTGGGAAGCCTCTGTGGATGTGCTGCCCTCCTGTTGTCCTGCATCCTCTCTGGAGGTGGCCTTGGGCATCTGCTGCTCTGGGAGGAGAATGAGCAAATGGGAGGGGGCAGGTACCACCCATGGGAGTCACACAGCAAGGACCCCCACCTCCAAGCGTCTCCTCCTGTCTCCAGACCTAGTGACCCCAACCTCCCCAAGGTCAGGAAGGAGGCAAAGGAAATGGTGAGGGAAGCGGAACATTTTCTCCCATCCCACCTCTCCCGCTCTCCCCTTGAGTGGCAGGGGAAGGGGAGCCTGATGAAAGGAGCCTAAAATCTTTCCGGCGGGGCCTAGGTGTGAGTAGGGAGAGCTGCCACAAGAGGGCGCCCCAGTCCCGAGCAACGCCCATTCTGAGCGGGCTAGAGGAGATGCCGCTGGGCCCCAAGGATCACTTACTAGTAACACCAGCTGGATGTGCTGAGTGAGCACTTGCTGTGTACCAGGCACTGTGCTGAAGGCTCTGCATGCATCAGTCCACTGAACCCTCACAGCAACCCTATGAGGAGGAAGAGGATCAGGTCACAAATTCAGATGCCTTGCAGACAACCTGGATGGGCCAAACAGGTATGTGCGTGTACATGTGCATATATGAGTGTTTTCTATATGCATATGTATGAGGAGACTTGTGTTTTGTGATATGCAGTATATCTTCAGAGATAAAACTGTTTACTTAACTCTGCTCTAAGAAAAGTGCGGATCAACTGGGGTGATAAACAGAACTGAATTGGTCCCAGCATTGAGGTGGCGGGAAGAGGCCATGGCAACCCAGACAGCCACGCCCTACCTAAAGCGGGCACAGACACCAAGCCCAGCTAATTGTTGCCATAAGGAATGCAGGCCCAGTTTTGCCAAATCTTCCCCATTTCTAGGGGGAAAAAAGCCCACATTTGTTGGGCCTTGGCAGCCAAGATGGGTGACTGGAGAAGTTGCCCTGAAATGTGACTCCAACCCAGGCCTTCCTGGCACCAGTACCCAGTGCTCAGCAAGAAGGAAGCAGAGGCGTCCAACAGGGATCGGGGGCACATGTATGTGCAGGGGGCCTTACAGATGTAAACTCTGGTCCAGGAGTTTTTCACCTGGGGTCTATGTGAGGGTCCATGGATGGATTTCCAAGAACCTGCAAATCCTGAAGTGCCCATCAAATTGTGAGCTTGTCTTTGTGCGGGCGCGTTGTTAAGGAGAGAATACCTGCAGCTTTTCTCAAATGCTCACCCATGCTCCACCCCCACCACCCCCCAAAAGCCTGCAGATGACGACTGAATCCCTTCAGGAGAATCTCCCGAGTCCCTTGCTAAGTATCGGGGATGAGACACATATGTGTCCAGTGGGGGACAAATCAACTACTCTTCCCACAAAGCACACCGGCCTCCCTAACCAGGGGACAAATGACCAACACTTGTGGAAGATTTCCTTTCCGATCCCTCACTTATCATCATGAGAATGCTAATAAACATTTCTAAGATGCATTATTCAATTTCCCCATCTGCCTTTTCTACCACAGGCAACCCTGTTTTTCAAGTCCTGGGGTGATCTTTTCCTATCAAACCCAAGTCTCCAATTTGCCCCTTAAGGAGATAAAGGAAAACAAGTCCCACTAAGTAACTGAAAACTGGGAACGAAAACTAGCAGCGCCCGTTAGGCCCTGGCTGCCACATCTAGGGGGGGGTGACGGTAGTCCAGGAATGGATTCATGGCTGCCAGAGGGATGTGGAGGCGGGGAGGGACGTCTCTTTCATGGAAAGCTGCTGGAGAGGCCTTGGGACTGAGGGCTGGCAGAGCTGTCAGCCTGGAGCTGGAGGCAGGGGCTTAGTGGTTTTCCAGGCACTGACAACCTCCCTCACTTTCCCCCATTTCCGTGGCTCCTGTGGAATTAGCCAGGCAGGAGAAGCAGTTCTTGGAGAGACGAAACAGGAGACAGAGGAACGGAGTCTGGGAAAGGCACAAGTACAGAGAGGGGGAGGAGAAAGGGCCCAGGCGCCCCCCCCCCCCCACAGACTCACACTTCCCAAAGCACCCGATCCGTCCCCTCGCAGCCCTCTACACAACAGTCATTATTTAGTCTGTAACTTTAGTGTATGCTTGTAACCTGTCTCCCGGTGCTGTGGGGCTCCGGAGAGGCGGCCCTGTCCAGGTTTCTGGGTAACCAGTGGTTAAGCGTCAAGGTCTCCAGTGACTTGTCACCTTCCGATGGTTCCTAGTAGGACCTGACAGATCCTAGTAACACTTCCTGGGCAAAAACCCCCAATTAGTACCCAGAGCTATTTCTGAAGCAGGAGAGCTCACACACTTGAGAAAGCACAGCCGGCCTCCTCTGTCCATCACAGAGCGCCTCCCTCCGTCCCAAGGAGGCCCAGGAGACAAAACACTGGCCAAAGCAGCCCAGGCCGAAGGAGATTCCCTAACCTGGGTGCGACTCTGCAAATGTTCCTCCCAGCGGCTGCAGGCCTGGGAAGCCCGGGACAGACACCTCCAGGTCTGCTTGCTTCAGGGAGGCTGAGACACCTTGTCCCACTCAGGAGCTCAGCCTCCGTTGTCTGGTTAAAAATAAGCGGCCTCACGGCCTGTCACTCCTGAAAGCACTCATTAATGCTTCTGTAAAGGGTAGAGCCTGAGGCTCTGGGGGGCTGACAGGAATTAGGAGTTTTGATCCCGCTGTGGCAGGCAGGCCGCGCCCCATTCTATGTTTATCCCATCCCTTCCTCTTATCCCTTGAAGGGTGATCTACTAGTGAGAAGGGACTCCAGGAGAAGCACGCGGACCTCAATCAACCCAGGCTGGTTAACCAGGCAGCAAACCCCCTTCCGCCCTCTCTGCAGACACAGCAAGCTTCCGAGGTTCCCCAGCCTCGAAGCAGAGGCCGCCTGGCTGGCTCTTCCTAGGTAAATGAGCCGGGTTTCTCCCTCTGCTTTCCCACCGCGGTCAAGCCACAGGGATGTCCCAGGCCCTTTACCTCAGGGAAAAAATGACAGAGACGCAGGGAAAAAAGAAAGGTGTCTAGGTCTTAGGTTCCCAAAGGCCCGAGTCTTTAAAGAAGAGAGAGGATTGAGGAAAGAATCAAAACGTTTGAGAGAAGCGGTGTTTGAGGAGCTAGGGCTCTCCCCTACCCAGCCCTGCTTCCCTCAGAGGGGGCAGGAGAGGGATGGAGGGGAGGGCCTGAGAGCTGAGAGGCCAAGGCAGCCTGGCCCTGCCTGTGGAGGAACAGTGCTCAGGGCCATAGAGTTGGGACCACAGCTGGAAGGCCAGGTCCTCACCCAGCCGCCCTCCGTAGGCATCCAGGGAGGCAGGAGCAGGAGGGGGAAGGATGGGGCTCCCCGGAGCAAGCGGGACAGGCGTGGAGGGCACTCTCATTATAGTACGATTAAAAAGTGCGGATTCCACGTCCTCAGAGTGTCTGCATCAGGAATAACTGGGCCCAACGAGCCCATCAGCTGTGCCCACTGACAGACGAGGCTGTGGGTCCCGTGGCACTGACCCCACACGCTCCCAGGCCAGCGGCCTGCCGTCCCAGCAGTGCGCTGGGGAAGCGGAAGGCCAGAGAAGGCCTCGTATATGCAAATAAAAGCATGCCAGGACCCGTTCAGGTGTCTGAGTGCAGACTCAACACTCACAGGGTAGATAGCACTGCTAACTGTGCCGCTTCCACCCAACCACCTCCAGGGCCCTGTGTGCTCGTGGATAAAGCAGAGGAAGGCAGGGCAGGCAGGAGTGGAGTGGGGGAGGGCGTGCAGGCTTTGTAGTGGCTGTGACCCCTCTTTGGCTGGAAACAGATCTCACCCCAACCGCAACACAACCTACCAGAGTACCCCATGCCCCTGAAACCAACACAGCCCCAAGCCGGGCGATCACATGCCTGCCCTGAGATATCTATGCGCACACTGAGAAAGAGAGATCTTTTTTTCCAGTAGGGTTGCTGCACAGGGGAATGTGAATCTGGGACACCAGTAGACCCCTCCCTGCCACACAGACAGGCTGTCTGCAAATGAGGTCACAGATGAGAAATTACGGAGAGGGAAGAAGTAAAGGTTGGAGGGGAGCGGGGAGAGGAGAAAAAAAGAGGGAGAGGGAAGGGAGGAAAGGTGGAGAGGGGAGCTGTGCCACATTCTCACCCCTGATACCCTTCTTCCTGAAGCTCTTCCTACATCTGAGGAACTGTTCCAGAAGCCTTCTCAGCTTTGCTGCCAGATAAAGTCTCATGTCTGTTGATGCTAGTTTCCACTGGGTTTCTGGATGTCATTTACATCCTCAGAATCCTGATGAACACAGAAATGACTCCAAGACTTATTTGCCCCATCCTCCCCCTGGGGCTGTTTTGCATTTCTGTAGTTAGAGGAGCAAGGGCCAGAAACTGTCAGGGTTATTCTTCTTGAGACTCTAAAGAAGACACGGTGGGTGATGGTATCAATCTGGTTAAACTGTTCAAGAGTGAATCCACAAGACGCTGGACATACTGGCTGCTCTGGGGCCCAGGTGATGGGTGCAGCTCAGGACCGGGAGAGGATCCAGAACTGGCACCCTGGGCACTTCTGTGATGGACAGTGGCCCAGTGAGGCACCTCTCAACAGCTCTGCCGCCAGTTAGTAGTGGGGAGACCAAGGGGGGCCAAAGCAGAAAGCGGGCCGAGGCAGCGGGCATAGTGACTACAGTTATCACCCTTGTTTGGGGGGCTAACCACCCAGAAACCCCCAAAATAACCAGCAAAGAGTTTGAGGATAACCAGTTTCTGGCTAATGAGGTTCCTGCTCTAAATAGGAAATGTAGCCTTACTTGCAGGTGCAGGCTGGTGAAGTAGACTATTCAGGTTACCTAAGTAGCAATACAACTCAATATTGGATTTGGGGGGCTTGTGCTGCTATCAGTGAACTTAGGTCGTTGAGAGTAGCATGAATCCCAGCAGCTGTACCAGTGACTCATAGGGTTTTCAGACTGGTGGTGCTGGGGGAGCAGTGACCACCCCAGACCGGAGCTGGGTCAGTCTCCTGGAGGGAGGAAGCAACTCCTGATCACTTCAAGGGCACAACGGAACAGAGCCCCAGGGTTTCCCTCTCAGCTCCAATCAATCACAAGACAGACACCCCAGCAAACCACAGCCTCTGGTGGCTCCCCAGCCTGCAGAGCTAAATTAGAAGCCCCCAGGGCCTGTGGAGCCCCGCTGGAGGTGAATGTTCTGAGAGCCCAGCTGCTTTTTCAGACACGTCTTCACGTCAAGATGCTCACAGCGTCATCGCTGCCTGTCACAAGAAGCATGAACAGAATGTGTATTCTGAGCCTCAGCAAAGGCCATGGGGCTGGGGGGCCAGAGCGTCTCATGATGTCCCCCTCCAAAGACACACGGACGTGTTCCTGCGCCCTGGGACTTCCGAGCCTCCAGGTGAACGGCAGCGACTCAGAGGTGAGCGATTCCCATTGTGCTGAGGCTGCAGCGAGAGGCTGGTACAGATCAGCATTCTAGTCACTCTGGACACATCCTCAATTTTTCTCCCAAAGGGCAGAAATACCATTTTGCTGATTCTTAAAGACCCTCCAGCCTGTCCTCTCCCTGCATACATACATATGACATGAAAGGTTCAGCCTGAGGTGAAACGGAAGGGACCTCTTCCAGAAAACGGAGCCGAAGGTTTGAGACAAAAGCCCAGATGTGTGAGGAAACCAAGGGAACTGTCACTCCCCACACAGCCCAGGTGCACATCTACCCACAGAGTCCCGGGCCAGGTGCCCGCAACTCTGAAGAGACCCGAGGCACGCCAAGACCCCGCTGGTCAGCCCCAGTGCCCACCACTTGGTCAGAGACATGAGGAGAGGGGTTTGGAGGTGAGAATGGGATCTGGCTCCCAGTACTCTCCAGCCAGAGGAGGCAGGGCCCCCCACACACTGTCACACGGGTCCCCTGGTGGCAGAGACCTGAGGCAACCCAAGCAAATGTGAAGAGTGACAAGGTCTGTGGCGCCATCTTCATGGAGCCTGTGCAGGGGCTCCCACAGGCCTCCGCGGAGGCCACCCCCTGAAAGAGAAGACCAGAACTGACATGCAAGAGGCAGCATGCGTGTGCAGCTGTGCTACTGCAGAAAGTAACAGAGAAACTGCTTACCTGCCAGGCCTCTGAGTCTCCTCCGTACAGGCTGTGGTTGCCCAGGGACAGAAGCCACCGTTGGCACAGAGCATAGGAGCGGGGGTCTCTGGAACTTCCCCAAGTTACACCCCAGGCCTCCAAGCCCAGCAACACTGGTGCCAGTGGAAAGAGAGCAGGTAAACACAAGCCTGGCTGCTGCCCTCTTCTATGATGTACGGGGGTGACTTCCCAAGAAAGAAAGTGAGGTTGTGGGGAATTAGCACATCAGGGGCCCCCAGGACGCATGCCTCTGGGGTCGCCTGCCTTTGCTTCTTCCCCTCCCACGTGGACGCTAGGCTTGGTCCTGTGACTCGGGGGGTCCGGCTGAGCACCAGCAGTGGCTCCGTACGCAGGGGCTCGTCCTCGTGGTAGGCGGCTGCTACGTCGTGGAGAAGCTTGGCTACACAACTCACCGTGCAGACGCCGTGGAGAGAAACCTGGGAGGGTGAGAAGCCTCTGGTCCTTTCCAGTGGAGCCAAGCTCCCAACTGAGAGCGGGCTCGGCAGCGGGTCAGCCACGGGGAGCAGAGCCGCCCAGCTGAAGCCTGTCAACCACGGAATCACGGGAAACAATAGAGTGTTAGTTTTAAGACTAAGTTTGGAGGTGGCGTCTCACCCAAGCGGTAGATAACTCAAACAAAGGAACCGAAGCATGGTCCCCCCACCAGAGGAGAGGAATCTTACCCCAAGAGAGTGACTTACTCCTGGGGCCTCAATCAACAGCCCAAGAACACAAGTCAGCAAGTGTTAATGAAGCCACAGTGTGGGTTCCCATCTACCCAGGTCAGCTTTGCTCCACCTGGGAAGAAATCCTGTTTCTGTCCACCAACAGAAACCAACAACGCCGCTCTGGCCATCTTGTGGAAGGAGGCAGGCTTTGCTGAACAAGCTGAATGCAGCCAGTCAACGAAGCCAAGCCCTCAGCTGGGAGTGGTTAAGTAGATTTGTGAGATTTTTAATAAGCGTGGTGGACAGTACAGAGGCGATGTCACAAAACAGTCAGTGAATCGTTGCCTAGCGGGCACAGATAACCTTCCCTTCGATTCCCAGCCTTACAGCTCTCAGAGCACTTTCACATCCCTTATCTCACTTAATTAAAACAACAACCCAGCCAGGTGGGCAGGGCAGGATTTGTTATCCTCTTTGCATAGAAAAGAGCTTATGCGATGCAAGGGTCCCATTGAGTGGAAGTTCAACCCCCGGGGCCCCTGAGCCTGGTGAACGGGACTGGGTGCAGGGTGGGTGCCCATGAACACAGGTGAATGGGAGGGGTGCCCTTCGGCTGGACAACATGTGTAGAAGCCCTGTCCTGGGAGGCAGCCTGGGGCAGGAGGGACAAGTCTTTCAGAGCATTTCTCAGTGCAGTCCTAGGACTCCCTGCCTCAGAATCCCTGGGGACACTTGCTGATACTATAGATTGCCAGACAGGGAGTGAGCCTAGGAATCTATATTTTAAGATGCTCCTGAGGGTCGACTGTATTTGGACACCATTGCTACAGAAGCCCTGTTGCCAAACAGTATAGTTATCAAGTTGCTTGACTGATGGGCACTCGTGGTCTAGCGCTCTTGCTAGCTCCCTTGTCTTCACCAAGGTGAAGTTTTGGAAGGATGTGTAACATTTGGACATGTAGAAAAGATGGGGCATAAACAATTGGAGGCACTAAGAAAAAAAGTAGGGATGGGCAGTTCAACCCCACTCTATCCTATCTTGCATAACCATTATCAAACAGCATCATTATGAAGTGAAAACACAGTAAAGGGACTGGAAACACTAACAGGGGCTGGGTAATAACATTCTCCAGGGATGGCCTTGCTTGGATTTGGTGTCCTGTTTCTTGGAGGTGAGGAAATGTCATGCCTGCACGGGGGCACAGGCAGAGAGATGCCTCTGTCCTGGGATCTTAGGGCTCACCTGGAGTCAGAGAGCAGAGCCCTGAGCTGACAACCTGCCCCAGTGAGGACTGCAAGCTTCCTGGATGTCCTGGCATTGGATCACCTGGGAGGGACCCCTCATCCCTCCATCTCCTCCATCCCCATGCAGGCGGGTTCTGCCAACAGAAATGGCAGGGAGAATGCTCCAAGCTCCCACCAGGCTGAGCAAGTTGGTTGGGGGTCGGGGGGAGGTCCACTTCTCTTCCCACCACAACTAATTGGGGGGTGGGGGAGAGAGGGGAAAGACACACGGCTGAGATCCACTTTTTATTTTTATCACCCTTTCCGACTCTTTGTGATAGAATCTGAGCCACTTCTGTTGTGTATCAGGAAGAAATGTGCTGCCTAAGTGTGTTTGTAATTAGACCCAGGTAATTCGATCTTTAATAACCAGCACGTTTCTCCCTCCAGCTCACTAAGCCCTGCTTCTGACACCGCTCTATTTTCATCCCGGCCCCCGTCCCAGGCAGGGATGCCTTAAAGGGGCCCACTGGCTTCTCATCTTCTCCCTTTCTCTCCAAATGGCCTGACTGGCCCACATGGGCCTTCTCAAGCAAGGGCTCTGAGGGGCCCGAGGAGCAGATTCTGAGAAAGGGTGTCATTTGGGAGTCTGGACAGTGGAAAGGCCCAGCCCACTCACCCTCTGGCTCAGCAGAGCCCAGCCTAGACCCTCCTATCTGGGGGGGAGGAGAGACAATCTCCCCAACGCCAAAAATGATGAGAGTATCTCTTCCACCCTGGCTGTCCTCTCAAGTGGGTGCAGAGAGGACGGGAAAGTGTCCTTGGTGACGGTGTTGTCGGTGTCATCATGACTCCAGGACTCCTGACTAGGGCCGTAGTACCTTCCTGGGCTCCAGCCCCACCTTCAGCCAGTGCCTGCCAGGTCGGGGCAGGGAGGAGGCTCAGAGGGGCTGAAGGAAGCGTGATGGATGAAGCACTTAAGGAACGAGGACCCCAGAGAGGGGAGAGAGATAAAAAAGCAAATTACAGTTTTTAAAACATTATTATTCTCATTTAAATAAGCAAACATGGTCACTGGAAAAATTTTCAAAAACCTCAGCACTCAAAAAGGAGAAAAAGAAAATTGCCCTTAATCCTACCATGCAGAGATCATTATTAGGAGGTATTTACTTATGGTTTTCTTTGCATATTATATCAGTCTTAATCCACAACCTCAAGTGGGTAAGAAATGTCCCGCTACTTTTCCATGAGTCGATTTCTGCAAGGATCCTGCCCCTGAAGTGGTAGAAATCTCAGTTCCGAGTCCCCACACCTACTTTCCTGGCCCTGAGCTAAATTCTGCGGACTGAAGGTGGGTGGTCCTCCCTGCACTGGCGTCCACCACCGCTGTTCTCTCTGCTTCTGAAAGGTCAGACCTGCAAGTCCCTGCTACACAGACCCTCATTCCCATCCAAAAGACGTCCTCAGGCACGTCCTGCCACTCTCATGGCCTCCTTGGAGCACTGGCACAGAAGCCCTCCTCTGTCTCCCAACCGCTGTAGAGCCGGAGGAAGCTAGCTGTGCCCCCTCCCCTGGCACTTCCACATATGCTAAGGTGAGCTTGCAGGAGTTATTCTACCACCTCGCACCCGGTGGGGCTGGGGGAGACATCCACACTCTGGGGGCTTCTGCCTCCCTAGGGCTCTACCCAAGAAAGCTATCTATTATCTCCCTCTGCACCCTGTTCCCCAAAACCCTCTGCGTTTCTGTTCTCTGTTCCAAGGCAGAGAGCCCCTGCGCTCCCTTCTCAGGGACCCACCAGCATCTAAGGTCACCTCGTCTTCCCACCAGCTCTCTTCTCCTCACCTCCCTCCCGGCCGTGCCCCCAAATCAGGGAGATCTCTTCTAAGGGCTACCACATAAGGTTGAGCAGTGTGTGCACTGCACAAATGTGGCCTGCTGTGGGGTAGGGCACAACCAGAGGCTAAAATCTGCCCTTGCCCTGGCAAGCAGAAAGGCACCTTCTCACAATTCACCCACAGGTGCCCTATGCGCCAGCCACGGCCCTGCCTTTTCTCATCATGTCTTGTTCCAAAGTTTATACCAAGGCCTAGACTTTTGGTACTCAAAAACCAGTAATTTGACTCCTCTGTTAAATCTGTCATCCCTTCCCTGAGGCAGTTAATGTTGGGCAGTCTGACTGCCGTCTGCCTGCAAGCAAGGATCACAGGTGTCAGGGCACGCAGGAGGACGCCTTGGTCAGTGCTTGAGGACATATCTCACTCACACACACACACACACACACACACACACACGTGCACTCCCAGCTCCAAATGTTAGATTCAAATCTTCAGGGTTGAGACAGAACCTGCATTTTAAAAGCTCCCAAGTGATTGTGAAGGGGTTTGGGGAGAACGGGTACCATAAGGGGAAACAGACCCAGTCCCTGGAGAACACTACCCCACGGCCCAGCAACCCTTGTGGGGCAGTGCAGGACCCTCCCTTACTTGCCCGGGCCGGTGAACTCAGGACCCCACTGGGCTGGATGGGGGACTGTCATTTCTCAAACGCCCTTAACACCCCCACGCATCTTCCTGTTTTCCCTCTTTGGTTGCAGTTGAGATGTTGAGAAAATCCACTCAACACTGTATCTGGGGGAGTGTCATTTTAAAGGCTTTCTCAAGGAAGGGCCAGATGATTCCCAGTCATCCAGCCCACTTCTCCCATCCAGCAGAGAGAGCCTGCAGGCAGCCTCCTTAGGGAGTGGTGGGAAAAGCCCCTTCCCCAGCAGTACTGAGGTGCAGGGACCACGCATGACTCTCCAGAAGAAACCTTCTCAGATGGAGACCCCCTAACTTCTGACCTGGGAGCCTGAGTCCCAGGGGAGGAACAGGTCAAATTTCTTGTGCCTCAGCATCAAATGGCAATGCTAATGTAGTTTCTAATTTAGGTTTTAAAATGCCACTTAAAGGACAGCTTCAGTTCTCTCACTTAAAACTTTTTTTTAAATAATCACATTTCCTCATGAATCAGGCCATGGGCATATTTGTCCCTCCCTCCCTGTGAAGAACTGACAGAGCAAAAAGGACATTCTCTCAGGTTTCTTCATGTGAATCAGCACATTCTTTAGCACCAATGTGCTGCTTCTTCAGTCAGGGGGCCTTTCTCTGGCCTGTCCCCACATCCATGGTCCCGTCTGCTCGTAGCCTCTGACCAGGATCCGGACCCTGTCACTCCCCGTGCTAGAATAACCAGCCAGGCTGAAAGGGGGAGCACAATGCGAGCCCACGTGCTGACGTCTGGACATTCCAACCTGTCTCAACGTCCTGTCAAACCCCCAGCAGAGGATGGAAGACTGAAACTAAACTGTTACTGCTTGCCTGCAGGGTTTGCTCCAGGATGACATTCATTGTCTCCTTTACCCTTGTTTATATTTTCTCAGTAACGACCAAATACTACTTTTACAACCAGAATAAAAAGCAAGGGGAATGAGTTTCATTTTAGAAAGGTCAGTGGGAGCCACTGTAGGTCACTGACTCTGACAGTTACCTAAGGATAACAGGTTCCCTCTGGTAGAGGAACATGTTCAGGATGGATCCAGCTGGGTTTACGGTGAGGCAATGAAGCTTAAGCTTCAGGCCCCCCCACCCAGCTCACATTGACCTGTCGTGTGTTTATAAAATTTGCAAAAGCAACAGCTAAGACTATTGTTTTCCACTACAAATTCCCCCATCACACTTT